CCCCTCAACCAAGCTTAAGAAAAATGATCATATGCTAAACTTCATGAATATATGTCTGCTAAAGTTAACTTCATTCTTCAGGAACTTGACGGAAATGTCAAAGAAAAGCTTTCTCGTTTTTGCCATGTTCAGGTATCATAATTAAGGAAACATTGCAATACTTGTATAGAAAAAGTTATATGCTTTTTCTTAAAGTTTACTTAAGATATAGTTGATGTCTCGCAGATAGATAATATAATCACACTCTATGACGTTTCCAACATCTGGCATGTGCCTTTGCTTTTGAGAGTAAGTAACGGCACTCTTGCTTCAGTGTTCATTTACATTTGAATTTGACAACGATTTTTTTCTTTATCTTTCCATTTAGGACCAGAAGGCCCATGAGGCAATTTTGAAGGTTCTGAAGCTCAATAGGTACGTCGAACAACTGTTTCATACTCTTTATCCAATTAGGATTGAGATCTGAATATTCCATATGTTTCGCTTTGTTCATAATTATATCCGCTGTTTGGATTTAATTCTTCGTTATGTTATGTGTAGTCATGCTGGGAAACCTGCTCTCGAGGAATGGACATCTAGGGCAGATCTGTGTGATCTGTTGAACGAGCCTGTACATTCTTGTCTTAATTTAAATTTTATGTACTGTGCATGGGTTCGGCAATGGAATTTTATGATTGCTGTCCCTCTTCTCTTCACAGGTTAGAATTGCTATGGTTGGTAAATACACGGGACTTGCAGATTCTTATCTCTCTGTGCTGAAGGTGACTTCATTTTTATATAATTTTCGTTACTGAGGCCCTGCTTGATCATAGTGGTGGCTTGATCATAGTGGTGGTTTAACTATTAGTTTTAGGTATCAATGTGATGTTATTTTCAATCAATTCATGTGGTAACTGGAAAAAAAAAATGTACTCTTTGCACCAAATTCCTGTGTCATGTCATATCAAAGATATCTTCTAGAGAGGTGGCTATATGCTTAAGTGCAGTAATAACTATTTGCAGGCTCTTTTGCATGCTTCTGTTGCGTGCCATAGAAAATTATGCATAGATTGGGTTCCCGCAAGTGATCTTGAAGATGCTAGTGCAGAAGAGGTATGTTTCCTGCTATTATTAGTTGTCTTCTAATCCCTGGATGTAATATGTTACAGCTTAGATGTTTCACTGTGCAGAATCCTGATTCTTATGAAAATGCTTGGAAATTGTTGAAGGTATGTATATGAAATTCTTTCTTTCTTTCTTTCTTTTTTTTCTTTTTTTTTCTTTCTTTCTTTGTTTTATTCTTTAATTAATTTATTTATTGAATTCCGGCCATATAGGGGGCAGATGGAATATTAGTTCCTGGAGGTTTTGGTGACAGAGGAGTGGAGGGTAAAATCCTGGCTGCAAAGTATGCCCGTGAAAACAAGGTCCCGTATCTTGGTATATGTCTGGGAATGCAAACTGCAGTAATTGAATTTGCTCGATCTGTTCTTGGACTACATGATGCAAACAGTACAGAATTCGCTCCAAACACACAGCACCCTTGTGTTATTTTCATGCCAGAGGTTATTCCCGACTTGCAATTTTTTTCACTTTGAGATTGCTTGGAATAATAATACACCTAACAATGTCATGACTTTATCAAATATCTGAAGATTTCCTCAATTTGGTCTGTTCTCCTGTTGGTATTGTTTTTCCAGGGTTCAAAAACACATATGGGAGGCACTATGCGTCTAGGATCAAGGAGGACATACTTCCATTGTACCTCGAGTAAATCGGCAAAGTTGTATGACTTCTTCTCCTTTGCCTCATAACCTGAGTCCTAGCACATACCCTCCTCTACATAGCCAAATTATCTAACTGGCTATTATTGTTTCAGATACGGAAATAGGAGTTTTATTGATGAGAGACATAGACACAGATATGAGGTGCAAGAAACCACCAATTCTGGATTTTTACAGATACTAACCATTTATATGGATCTCTCATCATCTTTGTGATGGATTCATATGATGTAATGCTAACAAGTTTAACTTAATTTTGTGTAGGTTAATCCTGATATGGTTCAGCAACTCGAACATGCCGGTCTCTCTTTCACTGGGAAAGATGAAAGCGGATGTCGCATGGAGGTACTTACTACTTATCATAATGGTGGTCTCCAATTTCTGATTTTGTTTTTAGGATTTGGGTGTTTAATAATCAACTTGTTCTTCTTTCAGATAGTTGAGCTGCCTAGTCATCCTTACTTTATCGGAGCTCAATTTCATCCTGAGTTCAAATCACGACCAGGAAAGCCCTCCGCCCTTTTCTTAGGTACACTTTCTGAAAAGCATTTTTACTTGTGTTTGTGAGGTAGAGAGAATATTGTTGAGGAATTATAAACTTGGTCCTCTTCTGCATGGCAGGACTTGTAGCTGCGGCTTCCGGTCAGCTAGATGCCTTGTTAAAGAAAGGTGCAACAAAAACATGCAGGATGAGCAATGGTTCCTCAACAATAAAGGCACACCTCTATGAGAATGCAACTAAGATAGCAGCTAATGGGTCTTACTGCAATGGGAATGGTTTACATGCTTGAGCAATTTGAGCTATTGGATTTTCTCTAGCCGGTTTGAGTTGATCATTGTTTTTCTTGCAGCAACAGTTTTATGTGTAAAGACACAGTGGAGAGAGTTTGTAGGTTCTATGGGTAATTCACATGCTGAATTCCGGTCTTTTAAACGGAAAGAAATCGTCGGTTGCAACAGAAATAGTGCCAGGGTAGAAGAATATTGTTGCACTTTGTTTTGCTAACTTTTTGTGTTTCGATTTCCCCCTCAACTCTAGTTTTGACTATTTCTGCGCTGAGGCTTGCTTTCGGTGTGTATGAACCAAGCGTGCATTTTGTTTTGTTGTAACCATTCGAAATGCTAGATTATGGTGAACTGTAGACTGAAATGCAGGCTTGAATTAATCAGTTTGGATGATGATTTTCCAGTGCAATTCACGCAGTTTATTATTTGTTTGAGTTTATGAGGTAGATTTGTAGGTAACTTGTGCGAGATTATGGCATAATACCTTTATTCACCCTTAGGTAGCCATTTTTAGGGGACTCCGCCGTCTGGGGTAGTCTAATCTTAAATCGATCCCCTGAAGCAAATTGGAAACTATGAATCAACACTCATATCCTGTACATCAACTAAATGTCAACCACAACTAAACATTTGTCATCCATGATAAATCAATGAAGTCAACTATATGTCAACCACAATTAAACATTAAAATCACCTCCTCATGTCATTCATAAACGAAATGTCAATTGTAGTTAAGATATGAATAAAAGTTTGTGGTTCCTTGCATAAGCAAACAGTGAGTCTTTTGGTGCAAAAATACAAAAAAAATCCATTCATGTACGTTGCAGTTTAATTCAACAAAGTGGAACACACCATTGAAAAGCTCAAGTTTATATATGTTTAGTGTGCTCGGACATACGCGCCTCTTTAAAGAAGCTGTGTAGCTAGGTTCTAATACACAACATTCAAAAGTAAGAGGACAAGAAGAACCAAAAGGAGGCTTGAATTCTAACGAAGCAAGTAAGTACATGAAAAGCTCAGATCCACTCCTTGGGATTGATACACGCATCCAAAAGCTTCCATTCTTCACTTCCTTCTTCAGGTTGCTGCAAAGAGAATGTGTTATGTGGGTTACTCACGTAAAAAGACACTAAACAAACCCATAAAAATATAAAATTAAATAAAATAAGATGATCGCAAAAGAACAAGTTGTTAGAAAACTGACATGGTCATATTCCCACCGGGCAGTAAGTGGCAGTGACACAAGTATACTCTCAATCCTTCCACCAGTCTTGAGACCAAATGTTGTTCCCCGATCATAAACCTTCACTTATAATAGCAGAATATTAGATAACATTATTTCGCTGGCTCGTCTTATTCCTGAAAGTCAGATATTACCAAGTTGAATTCCACATAACGTCCTCGGCGTAGCTGCTGCCATGCCTTGTGTCTGTCCGTAAATGGCGTGTCCTTCCTCCTCTCAATGATGGGTATATATGCTGGAATCACAGAATTTGCACACTCTGCAATCATTCAGCAGAGTTGGTAGACCAATTCACTTATATGAATCTTATAACTTACTGAAAATAAAAAACAGCAAACGAAAAACTAATACTCCCTCCGATCTTTTTATTTGTCGTTTTGGCTTTATTGATCATTAATCAAATAAAGACGTTTTGGATATTTTATACATATTTTTTCATTGTTACCCTCATTTAATTAATACACTACACGTTTTGGGAACAAAGTTGTGGAAAACGATTAGTTTTCTCTCATAAAAGAACATAAAAAGAAAAAAATTAATTAATATTAAATTGCTTTAAATAAGGCTAATATTGGCAAGAAAAAATTTCTTAATTTATGTGTTAAAGCACAGAACAAGATTTAAAAAGAATAGGAGGTAGTAGTTGGAACCTATCTGATGAAAATTCCGCCATATACAGTCTTGCACAATTTTTGGTCTTCAACAAAAATGTAAATATAAAACATGTCATTGGGTTAGGTTAGAAGAGAGAGAGAGAGAGAGAGAGAGAGAGAGAGAGAGAGAGAGAGAGAGAGAGAAACTGTATTGGGTTAGGTAGAACGCACCCCAAAAAAAAATAGCTCAAAGGGATAGGCACAACAACTTAGTAAACACAACTTCCTATGCCAACACGCATTCATACACGACAACCCAGTAACTTAGCGATGTGAAACAAATCAAATGAACCAGGTCAACATAAAAGAAATGAAGTCATAGATTACACATTGCTAAGTCATGGCTATGAAATTACCAGTAGCAAAGGAAAGAAGCATCTCTTGATCATAGGCATTTAAATCGTCAAAAAATATACCCCCAAGACCGCGTCTCTCCCCTCGGTGCTACATAAGAGATTAGACCAGTGAAATGAGCATAGCCAAGCTTATTAAATGTCGAGGGTTCAATAAATATACATTTCAGGGGAAAAACAAATGAGGGCCATTATAAGGCAGTATGCCAAATGCCTGAAAATTGATTGGAAAACTTAACAAACGAGAAGGCAACGAACAATTGCAGGTTCGCCCCAAACGCGAACACCGATCACGATTTCTCCTGCCTAACCTTAAGGCTCCTCTATTCCTTACCCAGACCCAACTTCTTAAATACAAACAAACTAGGGTTCCTAAGAAGCCAGCCCATTACCTTATTCTAGCCATTAATAAATGAACACTAAAAAAGGTAATTCAAATATAGATACGAAACAATACTCTCCCGGTCAAAACAGACTTCTCCCCAAGGCTAGTCACACCACGGACCATGCATACACGTGCAAGTAGACAATTTTTCCCACCGAAACGAAGCCGAATTGCATTTTGTCTCTACTTTTTGCAATTGTTATATTATTAGTGAGTGATATAGGTTTGACTTTAACAGTTGGGTCATCCGTGCCTAGTCACGTGGCTTGAATGTTGTGTTGTAAGTGGGTTGGGTTCGCAAAATGCTGGCCCAAAAATTGCCGAAAATGCATGCTACATTCTTCAAACTTTCTGGAGGAGAACCTCGTAAGCATTAAGAGCATGATTGGATACAAAAATTTCTCAAAAAAATCCAAACATTTTTAACTCAACCACTTTTTTAACTCAACTTTAACTCAACTCACTATCATCAATATTATCAATATAATTAAATAATATCAATCAATCATTCTTACACACAACATCAACCTTAATTCACTATTCATCTACTCACATAAATTTAACTAACTATCACATCACATTTTCTCTCTCGTACTTTTACATCAATTTAATTTTAATTATTTTATTTTAAATATTATTTTATTATATCCACTAACAACTAATCATACCTACTTTTTCAAATTTAACCAACTCAAATCAAAACAAAAACAAATTTATATCCAAGCATGCTCTAAGAGACCTAAAACCTACTAAAATAAAAACAAACTAGGGTCCTAAGCAAAACACAGCCCATCACCCTATTCTAGCTCTAAATAATAACAACTAAAATATGGTAATTAAAATATAGATATGTAACAAATATCCTGGTGGGACAGGTGGAAATGATCCTAGGGCTATAGCATGAGTTGAAAATTCAACTAGAGACCTACAAGCATATCCTGAACAAAGAAGTATTTGAACATTTGAAAAAAGTGCCTCTTTCTTTAAAACAGCAGAGAACTGCTTTTTCTTGTTCATCTGCAATCATCATATGCAGAAGTAAACAGTTCATAGAGCCATACCTTGATATAGAAATAATCATCACACCATTTCTTGAATCGAGGATAGAAATCACTATCAAACTTGTCGCAAGCACCTTTCTGGACCTACAACAAACAATAAACAGTGAAAGTATTCGATGGTTCTCCTAATGAATGATCGCTTCGCCCTTTCTTCCGGAGAGTGAAAAAACAAGACCATAAAATTGAAAAATGCCACAACGCAAGGAAAAAACAAACGTGTAACATATATAAGAACTCAAACATGACATCTGCTTTTATATTTATTATTGACATGGTATGATGTAACAATGCAATATGAATAATGCTGATCTATATCTACACCACAAATGCTGACAGCCTGATAAGAATATTCTGAATGCTGATACTCATGCTGTGCATTGTTAAAATTAAGGACATTCATACCAGATGGAAATGCTTAACGTCCTCCTCAAAAATGTAAGCAGGAGTCAAATCAGTACCTCCGCCAAACCACCATTGCCTTGGGGCTCCTGGAGCATCTGGCAGAAATTTAATACAAGCAACAGTTATACAAGAATTGTTGTAATTTATGATACTCCAAAAACAAAGAGAAAGATAAAGGATGTATATCTATATCTGCAATCCCAAAAGCAGGCCAACCCCCAAGGCCAATCAGTCACCCAATATGTCAAACTGAAAGGGATGTCTGTCCTTCTCTGTGATCCTAACTATTCCACTCAAGTATGAATTATAATCCTTGGATAAGCTCTCATCAGTCTATGTTAACACTACGTACTTTTGTCCGAGTGGCATTTATGATATCCCAGCATACAGGTCCAAAGCACAACGGGTCCAAAGCACAACAAAATTCATGTTACCTATGAATAACCCATCAGATATTCGAGAAGTGGGAACGGTATATTCTCAATGTCTATAATTCCAGGTTCTCTCAGTCTAACTTCCAGAAGGAACCAGCCCTCAAGATTTTATTATGCCATTATATTCTAACTACCAACTGTCATCTATTATGATATAATTTTTCGTTTTTATCAAGAGCAAGTCAGGCCTTCGGTGGCTTATCTTCTACACTAAATACAAATTCCCTTATCAAGTAGCTTGTCTGCTCTTCAGTCGTAACTTCACTACATTTATCTCCAGTTTTTCAGAAAAGGGTAACTTCACAGCGTGTGGCTTCAAAAATGAGAAATGAGTTCAAGCAACAAAATTTAACTACTTAATTCCATTTCGGCACACAGTATTTGGTTAATTCACTGGAAGCATCATAAGATGGAACACTTGGAAACATATTAACCATGTCGATAGTTGCAGATGTACTATCCTGCTTGGAAATGATACAAGGGTAACTTCTATTAATGGAAGGAGCATTAAAACCCATAATTGCTAGACAATTTTTTAAATACCTCATAATGTTCACTGGTTATGAAAACAAGATGCAAATAAATAAAAGAAAATTTCAGATTCTGGCATCATTATTGGAACATGGATTTATTACTGCAGATAACTGACCTTAACAAATAATGATACACTGTAAATGATACCTTTTGGAGCATCAGTCTCGAAATAGCGGTAATTAAAATGCAGCGTTGGAGCAAATGGATTCTTTGGATGAAGAACCTGGCGAACAAGATAAAACAAAACCCATTAAAGAACCATGCTTCCAGCATAAAGGACAAAATTGTTAAATAAATAAATACCATTCACATCCATTACTTTAGCACAACTTCAACAAGATTCATACTGATCTTGAAATTGTAAATCACATAATCCCGTTGTCAGCCATTGAAACTTACACAGAGCTGATACATTTGCCATGAAGTTAAAGTCACCAACTAAAAATGTTCTGCTTTCACTGAATCTTAATTAAACCGATGCATAAAGTGGAATTAAAAATCTGTGGCTCTTTCAGAAAGCAAGACATGACTATTTCACAGAGAGAGAAAGAGAGTAGGCAAATAAGGATATAGAACACAGAGACGTAAATTACCTTAAAGCTCATAAGCAATCCGTTTTTTAGCAAAATGAAAAAGAATGTGTCAAAGTGCTTGGCATGGTTAATTAAGACAAGTGAACCAACGTGAATATTCTAATAATAAGAATAAAATCATCATAAAAAGGCTAGTAAGATTAATTACGGAGCTGATGCCAGCAGCGAAGAAGGGAACAGGGCCGGGTTTGACGCTGCCATTTTCAGTGGGTTTAGCTGCTCTGTAAGCCTCGGGAGGCATGACTCCATAGACAACAGAGACATTGACACCAGCTTTCTCCCAAACAGCGCCATCCTGCAAGACCCTGCTGATGCCGCCACCGCCTCCGGGTCTGGACCACACGTCTTCCTTGAACTGGCCACCTCCGTCGGCAGCCTCAATGGAGGAGCACACAGAGTCCTGCGCCTCCCTAATCATCTTCTCAAACCTTGATCGGACGGATTTGGAGGAATCAGAAGCGTTTTCATCCGCCTCTCGAAGGAAAGTAGGGGGCTTCTCCAATTCGGGTGTTTCCTTTTCAATCATTGGAGTGGAAGACGGAGAAAAAGAAGGAGATGCTGCTCCTGCTGCTGCTGCTTGGAGTCGAAGAGTTGAGCTTTCCCGTCTATTAGCATTTAAAGCTCGAAAGGGGGAATTTAAGGTGAAGAAGGCGGGGGCAGACCTGGCTGTAAATGAATGGGAGAAAGGGAAAGCTGTGGGTGTATAAGAAGAAGAAGACGGCGGCGCAAGCGCCGGAGTCAGCATCGCCGGTGAGCAGATTGTTGGTAGGAAAGGGAGAGGGATAAGGAGGAATTGAATTTGTAGAACTTACGATAAGGTGTGCCTCGTTAGCAATGTTCTGAAAATCGGACCCCTCATCGAACCGGGGAAGCAATTAGTTCAATAATAAGCTATTAGTTTAATAATTTATTGGTCAGACCAGTGGTCGAACCGGTGGAACTGGTTTAACTAATATGTAATTTTTTATTTATTTTATATGTATAATATATAATCCTCCCCATATATAATTCCCGAATGCGCTGAGCCTACCTGGCTGCTTCTGATGCTTCAGAATCCTATTTGGCTAATAATCATGCTTCGTAATTAGGTTTGGATAAATAATATTGATATATTAATAATTAATAATCTAGGTTCGGGTATTCCATAAATATTATTTAGTTAACTTAGGTATTTTAATATCACTTTTACTAATATAATCCTTTAATTCTTTGTAATTTTATATAGTGAGGCACTAAGTGACTAATATATCCCTGAATTTTGATTTGTTTCCTTCAATAAGCTATTGAATTATAAATGTATTTTAAAAGTTGATAACTTTTGTATTTCTTATCGGTTTTACATATATAATATATCAAATTTATCATCTTTTGATGATCTTTGATTTGACATCCATATATATAATATATGAAATAAATAAATTATATTTATCTTTATAATAATAAAAAATAATAATATTTATTAAAATCTATAAAAATATAAAATTATTTCTCAATTGATATATTTATACTTAATGTAGTTATATTTAAAAGTTAAAAAAGTTATCCTCCCCATATATAATTTCCGAATGAGCTGAGCCTACGTGGCTGCTTCTGATGCTTCGGAATCCTATTTGGCGAAGAATCATGATTCGTAATTAGGTTTGGATAAATAATATTGATATATTAATAATTAATAATCTAGGTTCGAGTATTCCATAAATATTATTTAGCTAACTTAGGTATTTTAATATCACTTTTACTAATATAACCCTTTAATTCTTTGTAATTTTACATAGTGATGCACTAAGTGACTAATATATCCCTGAATTTTGATTTGTTTCCTTCAATAAGCTATTGAATTATAAATGTATTTTAAAAGTTGATAACTTTTGTATTTCTTATCGGTTTACATATATAATATATCAAATTAATCATCTTTTGATGATCTTTGATTTGACATCCATATTGTATATATGAAATAAATAATTATATTTATCTTTATAATAATAAAAAATTATAATATTTATTAAAATTCATTAGAAAAATAAAATTATTTCTCAATTGATATATTTATATGTAATGTAGTTATATATTGTAAGTTAAAAAAATTTGTATAATATAACACAAATAAGTTGCACAAATAAAAAGTGTCATAATAAATATATAACAATATATATATATTCTTATAAAAGGTATTTAAATTTTCAAACTACTTTTTCTCATTAATTTTAGATTTTAAGAAAAAAATTAGCAAGCACCCGTGTAATACACGGGCGTTGTACTAGTTATATATATATTTATCATTAATTTTATAGCATATAATGACATATTTCTAATTTTAAGTATAGTTTACCATAAGCAATACTAATATAATTTCACTAAAATAATAGATTAATAATTCAATATCTACGCAAAATATTTTACGAGCTCCCTCTTAAAGTGTGGCTGGGGAAAAATATTTTGCAGCCTCGGCTGGGGAGAGTTGAAAGATGGAATAGTCTTTTTCCGATTGCGGTGTGGCGCATGTGGACGTGGCGGAATAAACGATTTTTTTCGCAAAAAATCCTTAGCAGCGCTGCTCGTGTGGCAGATTTTCTACGCCTGACGGAAAGCTACGCAAGGGTCGTCGCGGGTTACAATAAGGTTGGGGCTGCTACTTATGAGAGTCGATCGATTAGATGGACCCCCCGATGTCGGGGTGGGTTAAACTTAATACGGATGGCGCGTTTGATAATAGCACAGGGTTGAGTAGTGCGGGAGGACTAATTTGCGATGATTTGGGCAGTTGGTTGGGTGGTTTTGTGATGAATATTGGTCATTGTACCATTACGGGCGCCGAGCTATGGGGTCTGTTTCAGGGCTTGCTTTTGACGTGGGAGTTAGGCTACCGTCAGGTTTTCGTCGAGGTTGATAGTCAGTGTATTACAAAAATGGTGTGTAGCTCTAATGGCTTGTTTGGTGCTCATGAATCAATGGTTCAGGCGATCCGGGACCTATTACACCGACAATGGACTGTGAAAATTACACATGTCCATCGAGAAATAAAATTTCGCGGCGGTGCTTAGGCCTATGGGCTCCTTTTTTGTCCAAAAAAAAAAAAAATCAAATATCTAAAGCAAGACAATCTAAATTACAAATACAAGCTACAAAGTCATCAAACATCAAGACATATCCAATCTAACATTACAATACATCAAACATCAAAATGCTCTCTCACTCTTTTCCTTTTGTTTGATTTTTTTTATTTCATTAAGTATTTTTTTTTTCAATTTAGAACTGGTTCGACGGTTTTGAACCGGTTTGAACGATCCGAAACCGGTTCTTGTTCACAATGGTTTAAACACTAAACTGGACCGGTATCAGGTCCGGTTCCCGGTCGAACCGGTCGGTCCGGTCCGATTTTGATAACATTGCTCATGACAAATAAACATCCGACCATATTTTGTTTGTTTGTTTGACCGGATTTTTTTTTTTCAATTGGATGGTGCACACAATAAGAACTTGTACAAAGTAATGCCCATGGTTTTCTACATTATTAACATCCAGGAAACCATGGCACGCATAGCCACAGTTACTTTTTTGTAATTTATTAGGCCATTAGCTCCATATGGATTTCGCTATCGAAACGTGCTAGGTCGGAAGGGCTACATCGGGTTCCTGCTAGTCACTTGCGGTCGAGGTGAGCGACCTTCGTCTTAGGCATGATAAGGGTGTGTCTAGCTCGAGATAGTGAGTAGTTAAAGAGGCGTTGATCAAGAGATGTCAATACCTCTCACCGAAATTGGGTTTATTTGTTAAATTTATACCAATTTGTCATTGTATGTGGGGAGTCTTGTTCTACAAAGGCTAGGCTACGCAAGACTATATTTCTTACAAAAGAAGGAGAAAAAAGCCACTAGCATCAATGGCGATTAGAAGAGAAATAATATAGTGAGTAGTTACGACAACACTTGGCTGGGAAAGTGACTTACGGTCTGATCCACCCCGAGGATGGCAAGATGGTGGCAAACCATCACGCACACCGCGATGGGTTTTTCTTACACACCAACCAAGTCCCAAAAGGGTTAGCTCCGGATACCATGATAGTGAAGTAGCCTAGCTGCCTGTTGGGATCCCAAGGGGGACACAGACCAACAAAGGTAACAAAGACATAACAACTCGCATAGGAGAGATGGGGCAAACATATGGGGAAGCTCGAGTTAATCCTCTTATAGCTCGGAAAGAGTTGGAGAAGATGATTGCAGAGGAAATGGCAGCACAAACCCGAGCTACTTGTACCTCACTGGAAGCAATGCTCTGTTCCATAAATCAAGCTCTTGCAAAAACAAAGAGTGACGAGAAACCATAGCTTTTCATTATTCCCCGAGTGTCGCTTCACAAGCAATGGGAAATCCAGCTCTAGAGCGAATGACGACACATCCACGCGAGCTACAAGAAAAATATTGGACATTGAGATCCACGACTACAAGGGCATCCTTTCACAAACGAGATGCTAGATGCAGAGTTGTCATATTGGTTTTGGGGGCTGAGCTTATCCTACAATGGACCTACCGACACAACCCGAGCATTTTTTGCTATTATAAAGGGACTTGCATAGTACTGGTCTCACCAACTCTGAGAGGGATTCATCTCGGATTTTCAAGGATTCAAATCAATGTTTATCAATCAGTTCTCCAGTACGCGTAAGCATGAGAAAATGTACATTAATTACAATCATCAACATGAAACAACAGGAAGGGAAATGTGAGAGAATATGTGGCTCTTTACACCAATAAGTGTGTAAATGTGGCATCAAGATCAGAGGAGGTGAAAATGAGAGGTCGGACTAGGGGATTGTTGTTGGTTTCGATATACCGTACGGAACAGAGTTTACAGCGGAATTTAAAATTTTAT